GGGATCGAACCGGGGACCTTGAGGAAACACAGACAAGCTGGTTTTGCATTGAATCACTTCAATCTCACGCGCTCCCAATTGCGCCATCCCGACATCCTTGAAGACTTCGATTGAGATGCCCGTACTAGAACCCAATCGCCACTTCAACCCGTGAAGTAGTGGACAACCTATTTTAAGCCAGCCTTTCAAGGACCAAAACCTGAAGTCAACGCCTGTGTGAACCTCCATACACCTGATGCCTCCTGCGTCGGGAACAGATGGTGTTGTACATGGGATTGTGTTGCGGCGCTGCTCTCGATGCTTTAAGGTCAATACTCACTTTGCTGGGAACTTCTATAGGCATCGGCATGGCAAGCCACTCCTATTAAGGAATGATGGAAATCAGCGCATCCATGAGCAACGAGAGATGAAGCAAGCATGTCTTACAAGGGTTTGGGCGGTGAAGAGCGCAGTTACAGCGCGCCATACGTGGAGTCAACCGTAGCTCGTGTAATGTAGTTCAGACCTCAGAAGTCCTGGTTCAAGCCTCAGATGGACCGCTGCGAAGCAGCCACTGGTAGCAGGGTTGTCCTATTTATTGATAACGCGTCCAGCACAACTTTTTGGGGGGGCTGACCAAGTCACACGTGCTTCTTCGTCACTATCATTTCACCTAGAAGCGGGTCGGAAACTTTCACCACTCTCATGGTCAACTGACATTGTTTGTTGTACCCACATACCTCCCCGTCTTTGTTCAGACTTCCTCCTGCGCCTGCGTGGCTAGCCTGCCGCTTTTCGGTGACGCTAGAGTATGCGCATCGGCGCGCAGAGCTCTGCCTGGCTCAAATCCCAATCTGCTGTACTCTTGATTCAGATTCGTCAGTCTAGACGGTAGCCCGTGTCGGTACACGACAAAACCACACCTTCAGCCAGTGTCTCCGACGTGACAGAGGCAGACCATAGGCTGACTTGTAATATTTTGCACGTGTGTGCGTAGAGCGCGTTCAATCTTTGCTCTGTCCGCAAGATGTGTAGCATAACCCATCAGACCGCCAGTAAGCCACAAGCTGACCTCGCGCAGTACAGGTTCAGCCCTGATACAGTGGAGCTCCCTAGCGATATCGAAGGGCCGCACCCCCAGCCACAGTCTGTATCAGTCATTACATAGATCGTTTCGTCATTCAGCGCCTGAGATTGAGTGCAGGCTGCAGTGCATGGTTGTGCATGGGATGAATGCATCCATCCAGATTGCAGCCTAGACAATTTTGAGTCGGCTGACTGGATGCTGCACTGATAAGCGATTCATCATTCGGTGCAACCCAGGACTCGGCTCCATGCCCCACACGCCACTTTGATAAGGCACACATGCTACATACATCTGCACCTTCCCAATTAGGACAAACCAAGAGCGGAGAGGAGAGGCTTGGTCTCTCACACCCATCGGCCGTATTTCCCCAACCCGGACGAGGGAGCAGACTCGTGGATTGGTCCAGTCAACTGGATGCTGGATAGGGCAGTCTGCTTTCGCGAATGCAGTGTAATGTATTGTAATCATCCCCAGCCTGCTCTTGCGCGCCCAACCAGGTGCGCTTGCGCCGCCGCACTCTCGCTCGCACCCAATGCTTGCGGGTGCATACAGCCATAGCCTTCTTCGCACGCACGCAGAGGGATCGGCGAGTCTTTCCAATGAAATGAGCAGGGATTTGCAACTGGTCATTCGCTTGGAGAAGCTGTCAGAGCGTATGCAAGGCGATGTGTTACATCGATACTCCGCTTAGAGTCTAGACCCATCCGCAAGAGCCATCGCCCAAACTGCTCAATCGACCAAGCCTCGTTCAAGCCTCGACTCACTGCTGCCCTTGAGCGACGAAGGAAATGAAGTGAGAGGGTCGTGCATTGTATGCCTATAAAGATTGCATGGATGTCGGGCTGCATTCGATGGCGTGCCGAGTGAAACAAAGCGGGCGTTATCATGTGCAGCAAACCTTCAAAAGCAAAGCAGCATCTATTGTCAAAGGCGCCATTGCGCTCGTGGATGCCCACCCCCTCACCGCTGGCATCCATTACGACTGCGATCCCAGCCGAAGCAATATCTCTCTTCTCGCCGACATTAGTGACAGTTGCATCCACGATGTGTGAGCAACACGCACACCCGCGATCCAGTTGGGAAAGCGAAACCGAGTTGCGATCCAAAGGAACTCTCGAACAGCCATCTTCTTGTGGGTACTGCTCCGTCTGACAGAAAATGAGAACATGAAAGGGAAACTGCTGACCGCGCAGCTGCGCGACCCACAGGTCCCGCTCCACCGCGGCGAAGCACTTTGCTCAACATGATCAATACCGGCACAGAGGCGAGCGTGAGCGCTGGACAATCTGGACAAATGGCGGCGGCACCAGCAGTGTCGTGCCACCACTACGAGCCGAGCCATCCCCATTGCGCCCGCCTCCCCGCGGCTCAGCAGCACCTACGTGATGTCTTGCGCCAGGACAGCTTTACCACGACGGCCTCGCTACACGGATGGCCGCTTACGACGACCATCATGTCCCGCGTGAAAGTGGGCTCGCTCGGCCAACATCAATCAGCGCAGACGGCATGGATGCTTCCACCGCCGACGCTTCTGCCGCTACCGCTGCCCACATTCACGCTCACCGAGCCGAGCGAAGACTCGGCGGAAGCATCCACCACGCACGAGCTCTCCCTGGCGGAGCTGGCCTACATGCCTAGTCTCCCTGTGCGCTCTGTGGTTCCAGGGTGGGCGAAAATGGCTGTAGCAGCGGATGAACCCTTGTCCTCCGCCAACTCGTCTCGGGCTGAGCCAGCAGCGCATGGCAACGGCAACAGCAATGCAGCATCGCCGCTGGTGTTCAAGATGCCGGTCGGGCACTTCGCGCTGGACAAGCGCCGGCTGTGCCCGCCGCCTTGCGACGCCCGCGGGCGCGCAAACTGCCATGGTCGCTGGTGGTCGCGCAGGAACATGGGCTACGACTTTGTGCGCCCCGCTTTGCGCCGGGCGAACAGCTGCCCCGGCGGCGTCGCAGCTGCGGTGGACACGACCGGGGAAGTGGTGCCTCCATCCGCAGCTGGCGCGGAAATAGCGGTGCTGGGCGGAGAGCACATCGTCCGTCCCAAAGTCCAGCGCCTTCAACCCGTCCACCTGCGCCGGACGGCATCGAGCTGCGACCCCTTCCTTGTGGACGACGCGCTCCCCGACCTCAATGCAGCGGCAGCGGCAGCCGAGGCCAGAGCCGGGGTTGACGATCTCGAGGTCAATTTCGATCTCAGCACACTCCCCACCGAGACGGTATGCGTCCAAAAGCGCCGCCCTGCACCGCATTCCGGCCTCGATCGGATATTGCAATCGACCGCAGCACTTGAGCGCGTACCCAATCGCCGTGCTAGTTCGGCTATCAGCGTTTCCGGTGGCAACCTCGGCCCCAAGCGCATGCCTTCGATCCTGCTGAAGAATGGCAGCGGCAATAGCTGCGGCGGGAACTCTACATCTTTTGCGCGAGAGAATGCCGGTGTACCGCGCTCATTTGCCGGACGCCATCTGCAATTTCCGCCACCGACGTCGCCGCTCGAGGCGCTCAAGAAGACGTTGCTGGAGCAGCAGCAACTGCAAGGCCCGCGCGGCCGAGCGACCTCGCCGCCGCCGCTACCCATCGGCGACTTTAACTGCCGCCGAGGCGCACTGAGTGGCGAACCATGGTCGAGTCGACGGGCGCACCTGCGCGGGCATCCGCAGCTGATGGACGCGAGCGACTCCGAGGAGGACAACGATGACGTGGTCATGCGCTCTGATGACGAAGACAACGATGACGAGAACGGTCTGTCCAGCTCGTCGTCCGTATCTGGCTCGGAGGACGAAGACGATGCGAACGACCACGACGAGGTGATGTACAACGCAGATGCCGCAGAATTTAACGTCACGATTGTCGATAAGTCGCATCCTGTACCGTGCTCACTCGTGTTCGAGGAGTTTCCAATTAAGGAGGAGGCGCTGATCATCCGACACGACACCGAATACACCTCTGTGCCATTGTCACTTCACCTCCCCGTTCGCAACTCGTCGCGACTGCAGCGCAGTGATGTTGGCAAGCGAATCAGCCAAAGAGGCGCTTCCGTCGGGTCGCGTGCCGCCTGAACCATCTCGTAACGTTCGCCCCGACGCCAACTTCACCTTCGCAAGCACCAGCAACACATTACACTGCATCCCTTTTTGCAAATATCTTCAAGAATGTAGCAGCAATCTATATCGTAGTAAGGAGGACCGACTGTAGCATAGAGAAATTTTCAAACACTACTGCGATTCTAACTTCAATTTTTGCGAGGTACAATCAATGCTACGTACAGCGGGTAACGACGCGTGTACATGGAAAGCCGTCAGAGATCAGTCGAGAGGGATGCCCGCCAGCTCCTCGTAGCCGAGTGCGATGTTCAAATTCTTTTGGGGAGGGGGACAGGGGAAATATAATGAGCTACTTTGGTCTGCGCAAGTGTTTCATTGGCAACGTACCTGCAGACACTGCGTCGCAGCGCCTTTGAGCAGGTTGTCAAGGGCGGCGACGGCGACGACGCGTTTTCCGGACGAGTGCACCTGGAAGCCGCCAATCTTGATCCCATGCGTGAGCGAGATATCCTTGACCTCTGGCACCTGCAGGCCGACTTGCACGAGGTCATCTTTCGCATAGTACTCCTCAAAGAGCGCACGAACGTCCTTGGCGGTCAACTTTTTGCTCAACGGCGCGCTAACGGTCGACAGGATCCCCTGGAACCACGGCGCGACGGCCGGGATGAAGGCGACCTGCAGAGCGTCCTCGGCGTGGCCGGCGCCGAGCAGCTTGCTGAGGTGTCGTGACGCTTCGCGCTCGTGGATGTGGTCCGTCAGCGAGTACGGCCGCACACCTCCAGCCAAGTCCTCGGGCGCGATCTTGGGCACGGTCTTTGACGCTCCGCCGCCCGAGCTGCCGCCCGACGGCGCTGCCTTGGTGCCAGCGCCGCTGTAGCCAGACACCCCAAAGACTGTCGGTGGACAGCTCAAATCAAGGTATGGCAGGAGCGGCGCGATCAGCGCCTGCGTGTTGGTCGCGTAGCAGCCCGGGTTCGAAATCAGTGTCGCGTCGCGGATCGCCTGTCGCGAGTAGAGCTCTGTGAAGTTGAAAGGGACAAAGTCAGCGAGGTTGGTGGCTGAGAGAATTGAGCGGCAGACAGGCGTGCAGTGCAACAGTTAAAGATGACTTTCTTGTTCTTCTGAGCTCTTGTTGAATTACATGTCGTTCGTTGCGCCCTCGCCCGTCCGCCGTATTTGTTTCTGCGCAATGCTAATACGCACCTGGCAACCCGTACGTCCAGTCCTTCTCGAATCTATAATCTGCGCTGAGGTCGACTACCTTGGCGCGATTCTTTCCGGCGCGCTCTTTGCTTCCTTGGAGAACAGCGTCGACGAATGGCTTGCAGACACCGTTGGGCAGTGCCATGATGTAAGCGTCTGGCGGAGCGCTGTCGCCCTTGCCGGCTTCGAGCTTGCGCAGGTCCTCGACACCGATGTTCGAGTAGCGCACCTCCTCCTTGTTGTAGCCTTCGAGCTTGCGGCCAGCGAGCTCGCGCGACGAGACATGCGAGAGAGAGAGGTAGGGGTGCTTGTCGAGCAGCGAGACGAGCGCTTGGCCTGTGTAGCCTCGCGCGCCAATCAACGCGACACGCTTTTTCTCAGTCGTCTCACCGGGGAGCGGGCCGCTCTTTTCGACTGCCGTCGCATAGCCGCGGCGCCCGCTAGCAGCACGAAAGGGGGTGCTGCAGCTGCGGCTCAATGCGCGCGCAGACGTGTGCAAGCCGCGCGTGCCTGTCGCAGACGATGCCGGTCGCGTGGCGTGCAGCGGCAGGTAGGCCCTTTCGATACGCCCGGAGGTCTCCACCTCCCGAAGCACCCGCTCGACCTCGGCGACGTCTTGGATGCCATAGTAGAAGAGGCTCCGGCCGTTCCGCGTAAAGCTTCCGTCGGCGCGCTCGTAGTGCCAGGCGCGGTTCTCATCGTCGGCGCGGCCAGTCCAGATGAGTCGTTTGTGGTCACGCTTGATGAGACTCCAGACATTGTCGGTGACACTGTTCAGCACGCCATTCTTGGTCGACACGAGCTTGGTCAGAATGGGCACCTGTTGTCCGGACGGGTGTGCGACAAAGGCAACGACGTCGCCCGGCTCGTCTCCGTAGATCGTGTACGGCGTTTTGGAAAGCTCGGAGAAGAACTGTGCGACAGTCTTGCGTCCCGAGCGCACCTCTTCGTCGTTCTCCTTCAAAATTGAACGCAGACGCTCGGCGCCGGCCGCCTCAATATCACTGTGCTTGTAGAGCTTGTAGCCGCGGCGAATCAGCGTGCCAGCGCCGCTGTCTGTGAACAGCTCCTTTTGCAGTTGGTCCACCGAAATAATTGCGACGGACGACGAGCGCGGCAAGTGGTCGAGCAGCTCCTTCATCTCGCGTAGCTTGAGCTTGGTTCCATACTTGACCCACTCTTGCTTCATCAAGTCGTCGTACTCTTCGTCCAGGTTGATCGTCTCGAGCAGCTCTTTAGTCTTGCCGTGGAAGAGACCTCCCTTCTCGTTGAGGTAGACGATCTTCAGCGGTTCAAGCACCTTGCTCAGCTCCGAAGCGGCGACGTCGGCGTTGACGTTGAGGATCTGGCCATCTGGCGTCTCCGCCAAGCTTGTAAGGATGGGCAGGCAACCGGCGCGAATGGCGGACTCGATAGGTTCCTTGTCGACCGAGTAGATCTTGCCCACGAGCCCGTACTTTTCCTTGTCGAGGTAGTCGGCGGTGAACGTGCCTAGCGGGATAGGCCGCGCGCGCGAGCCGAGCGACTCGAGCTTCTCCACCAGGCGCATGTTTTCCTCAAGGAAGACCTTGCGTGCGACTTGGAGGGTCTTCGCATCGGTGATGCGAATTCCGTCGATGTAGTCGGGGTTCACACCTTCACGCTCAAGGATCTCATTCAGCTGCGGCCCCGCGCCGTGCACCACGACCGGGTAAAGGCCGCTATCAGTAGAATCGCAAATAGGTCAGCGTCGCTTGCACCACCACGCAGGCGGAAAGCCGTGCGACTCACACCCTGTGAAGGAAGCTGAGCGAGAGCGCAAGCTCGTCAAGCTGGTGAGTGAGAATGGCACCGCCGACCTTGAGGACGGCAAACTTGTTAGCGGCGGAGAAGATCCGGAGATAGCGCTCGACCTCTTTGCGAGAGGCCAGTGAGTAGAGTAGGCGCGTGATCGTTTCCTGCAAGCAGCAGAAATGAGTCAGCATTCAGCTTCAGCTCACGGCACTTGTTCGTACACGGACTCGATCACTGGCATCTTCCCGAACGACAGTGGTGAGGCTCCTTCGCTGCTGCTGGGCGCTATCGGTGCTGCGGCAGCGGCGACTGTTACTGAGCCGCTGAGAAACGGTGGAGGCAGACCTCGCACTCCCCCATGCACTGTTGCTGATAATGTTTGTGATTTCAAGGCGGCGACTGCAAGTAGTCGAGGAGTAGGGTGCAGCAGCAGCTGCCAAGGAGGCCGCTGCGGCTGTGCGGGCCACCGCGAAAGGTCGAGCGAGCATGCTGGTCGAGCACTTCGCGATCAGCATGTCTACTGCTTGCTCGCTTTCGTGGAGCGAGCTTGAATACGTCTGATGTCTGAGTGTCTGTGTTGCACAGCAAGCTTGACCATTGACTAGGTCACAGAGCACCAGGTGTGCGACAGATACGTCGAGGCTGGTTGATGGAGATGTTCGCAGATGGAGGATGAATGGAGGTAGATCAGGTCTCCCTCTGGATGGATCCTATGGTTGCGAGCGTCAGCGGTGCGAGTAGACCAATGGGGAGAGGTTCAAATGCCCAATACAACGGCAGGCAGAGATAATGGCTAGGTTCATGCAAGTCTGAGCACCGTACACGTGTACATACCATAGTCCCGCCAAGGGGGGGAAAGGGGAGACGCTGGTGGATGTGCCAATGGTGGGGCCAATTGCCGCGGCAGGGCTGAATGCAACGTCACGTGACCCTTTCAGTCGCTTCATTCAAGAGCAGACACGACGCAGGAACCGATATGCACATCACGTGACCGTCAAAGCCAATTCTAATCATCGCAAGCTGCGCTTCGCTTTTCCCGATGACCGCACTGGAGATGGTACAGCGTATATCACCATGCAGCCAACGGCCAAGTCTGCGCGAGCGCATCGGTTTCTAAGACGGGTCATATCTCGCCACCGTCAAACATTCGAAGCACTCTCTTTGCGCCTACAGTGGCCCTCAATTCTCAAGTGGGCACAACAGTCGGAATTGTCAACCCGTCGAACAGGCATCAGCAGTGGCCCAGTCGAAGTCTTCTGTAAAATACCATTGTTTAAATTCACTTTATAGGGAGGTGAAAGTACGGTACCGTCAGGATTCTTCTTTCTTGTTCGTAAGGAAGAGGCACGCGCGTGTATCGAACGCTTATCCGCCCTTCGCAAACTTCTTGAGGTTGGCGAGGGTTCCTTGCCACCTGTCCTGGTCGCCCTAGTGTAGTGAGAGTCAAGCGATGTGATGTCAGCGCGGAGAGGAGATTAGGAAGGCGTCGCGGAAGGCGACTCACAGGGTAAGGATTCTGCGAGTCGGAGAATTGCCAGAATGAGGCGTACGACCAGGACGCTGGCGGCGTGCCGATGGACGAGCTGTAGTGTGCCTGCACCAGCGGGTAATCGCCGAACGCGGCCGAGTTGCCCGTGCACTGGGTCCACCAGTCGAGAGTAGTGTAGATCATCTGCACGCGACAGGGAAGAACAGTATAAAGAGTGGATGAGGAATGAACATCACCAGCCAAGGTGTATCGGAAGACACGAATCGGCTGATTGTTCGGTCACTCACAGGGTGGCGGCCAGTGTGGGCCTTGTAAGTGTCGCCAAAGTCCTTGATCCATGAGACCATAGCGGAATGGCTGAGACCGTAGCATGTGGCACCGTTGGGGTTGTACTCCATGTCAACCATACCAGGGAGCGTGATGCCATCGTTGGTCCAGCCACCTCCGTTCTTGAGGAAGAAGTTGGCTTGCGCGGCGCCGCTGGAACTATCCGGGTGCGCAAAGTGGTAGCCGCCACGAATCAGGCCGGCGCTGGTGGCACCTCCGTAATTGGGGCTGAAGGAAGAGTCCTTGGAGCTAGCTGTGGTCATATGAAGAGCGGTAAGAGGCGAAAGAATTGCATTCAGAATAGTAGCTAATGATTTTCGAACCCCCCTTACTGGTGCGCACTGCCTTCGGTCGCCTTTATGATGACGAATTGAGCGCCTTTGGCCTTCTGTGTCTTCATGTTCACTATCGCAAAGAAAGCAAAGCAATCAGCTGGGCCACCATTCGCCACGGATGAGGCTCAGCACACACCTGTTCCCTGGTAGTGCGAGATGTCGCTGTGACCCGAGAAAGGCAAGGCACGACGCAATCAGCCAATGCACCGTGCGACAAGACATTCTAAACAGCTGGCCCAGCGGGTACAGTGCCCTCACAACCCAGGTACGTTGTCCCGCTTGGTGAGCTCGTTGTCTCCGGCTGGGGCAGCGGCGACAAGGGTGGCCAAGGCGGATAGAACGGCGATGAGCTTGAGCTGCATGATGATGCTGATTTGCTGTGATGGAAGAGTTGCTGCGAGGGGAGAGTTGCTGCAAGGGGAGTTGCTGTGATGGGATGGGTGCGGGTATGAAGATGGTGATGAGGATGGAGGATGGAGTGGATGGGGTGCAGCCAGAGGGACTCTCAGGACTTCGAACGTGCGGCTATTATATATCTTCTGGGTGGCCGTGATGACTAGGTGTCGAACCACAAATGTAAAAAGCGCTTTCTACAAAGTACAATGCTATGGATGCTGTTGCATGTACCGCATATTTTGGGTCCCCGAGGTGCAACGGCCGCCGGCCAACTGCTGCAAACCTCCAAGACTCGGAACCCTCGCCGCAAGAAGGAGCGTCCAACTTCAAAGCTACTCCCTCGCAAAGCCAAGTGATTGATTGCATCCCTTTCCTCCTTGAGATGGATCCTCGCTTAGGCTGCTGGGTGTTGGATCTCCCTGGTTATTGACCCTCTTGCATCATGCATTATGTGTTTTCATTGTCGCATGCAACAAGCGTGTGGGGTGGCCGTGGGCCACTCTTTACTGCTCGGTCGCGTACCCCACGTGCTCGGTTTCACTGTGCCAAGGTCTTGATGTGACGGTAGAAAGGGATCGACCGCTGAATACCGTTGTCAGAAATCTGAGGGCCCAGAGCAGCAGGCGACTGGGCAAGCTAGGCATGTACGGACAGCCGACAGTGAAGTCGTGAATATACAGACTATAAAACACACCAACAGGTCGTCCACCACAACAAATACTACGCTGCAGCTTGCCCATTATTGTACCATGTGGCGTGCAATCTTGAAAGCACATTGTCGCGACGAGTAGGTTAGAACCCCCGAAGTACAGGCTACTAGGGCCCAAATGCCGAAGAAACCAGCAGCTGGACCTGCCTGAATGTGTGCCAGAAGCGGCTTAGGCCGCTGCTGTCGCTCCGGGTCGCTTCACAATGGCTGCATGGTCTTTAAAAATGAAGTTCAGTATGCGAGTTTCTCGTTATAAGGAGGGTGCACCATGTAGCCAGCTCGAGCATGGAGGCAGCAGCACGCCAGAGCACGCGCAGTTCCATCAGAGTGGTCCAGGGTAGCCCACCGCAATCCCCCGGCGGCGGACCTTGGCTGCCCCCAATCCACATGGCACATTGGCCTTTTCCGTTCTCCCTAGCGTGTCCGTGGCAGGTGGAAAGGACCATGAGGCAACTCCATCAATAAGTCCTATTATGAATCCATCAACCCTTTTCGAGAAATGATTTTAGGGCGTTTATACGTTGTTCGACTTCGTAATAAAAAGGGTATCATTACACTGATTTCTTGCATTATTGGGTATGTTCAACACTCGGAACGATCACGTTCGATCACTCCATGTTCACACTGCACAACATTCAACAAGGCCCAACCCTTCGTCATTCGAGCGAAATTATGATATCATATGTAAATACTCATATGTATGTACCGTATGTACATATGTGCACACTGCTAATGGCAACAAAAGCAGCGATTGCACCTGCACTTCCCCCAAGGCCGAAGCCGAAATGAGCGTATGTATACACAGTAACAATGCTTAGTGGTACAAGGCAGGAGGTGGCAGCATTGACTTGCACATAAATGTACACGACGCTCTCGTAGTGCGGGCGAGTGAGCGATCGACAGGAACGCTTGAAGCAAAGGGCATCTCCTCAGTATCCCGTCTGGCCCGTCGCCGATGGCCAACAGGCGGGCGCATGCGCTACACTGAGCCAAAATGCGCTAGTGGTGTCGGAAAGCCCGAGCAGTTTGACTTGTTGGGCTGTGACTTGGCCCGGAACCGCGAGCACCGAGGGTCCAGAGTCCAGACTGCCAGAATACTGCCGGCCATGCGAAATGCGTCCTTCCTCCTCCATGTACTCACATCACCCTGGCCTCCCCTTTGTCTACAGTGGCGAACCCTCTCTCGAGCTGCGTCATCCTCTCACGCGCCCATGTCGCTTCTCAAGGTTCATGATGCAGGAGGGCTACAGCAAGCTTCAAGCCACGTTTTATCGCTTCATCCGGCTTTAAGCTTCAACGTTCCTCGGATATCAACGCTCAACGTAACACCGTCATGCGAGTCATGCGCGTCATGCGTGGCTGTTGGACCCAATTCTGTTCGCCGAAACAGGGTAGAGCAAGCTGCTATTACATGTCCCCATCTCTCACCGACAGCTCAAATGTGGCCCCGCATCGCAAGTTATCGAATCCTGCTCGCGGATGGCGCGAGTGCTCGACTCTCGCATCTTCACGCTGCCCTTGACCCCATTCCCACTCCATAAGTCACCACATACCCGCAGATGGTAAATAGATCTCCGGCCGGTTCATGTGCATTCAACGCCGTCAGCGACGAGCTTCCGCAACCTACTGCCTATTGCTGCACACTCGGAACTCCACACGAGTAAGCGGCCCTTCTCCCGGTCCCGGTCGACGACTTAGCCTCAGCGCTGCGAAAACTCCTCCTGAACGGCCGTTAGCACCCTCTCTATGACGGATGGGCAGAACGTCCTGCATGTACAGCCACAGGTACGTTAGCTACGAGCAACAAGGCCAATGACAAAAGGAAGCGCAAAAAACCCTGGCAGGCGGGCGCCATACGATCTTAGCGCTTCTCATCCCCTTCACCGTCGCGCTCACATCGTTGCTCATCATCTGCCGCCAGATGCAGACGTCGTCCTCCTCCCCTGCATGACCCAGGGTTGCCCGATCACAGCCATCGTCGACTCCAGCTCCGCAGAGTCCGTTTTTCGCACCACCTCTGTACTGAATTCGGCATCGAAATACATGCGGATGCTGTTATCGGCAGACCATCAGTCGTCGACAGGAGCGACCGTCGAAGTGTTCAGCCGGAGGGGAAAGTGTAGCAAACACAGAACGGGGTCAGCTTCCATCAATCAGCACCATTGTTTGACATGGGCAACACACCTGATTGTGCGACACCCTTCTCGCATTACATAAATAATAGTCACACGCATCTCATCGCATTTCCCCGATGTATCTAGCCCTCAAAGGATTTATTGCAGTCTCTGTCCAGGAGGTGATTCGTGCCTGATCCCTTCGCTTCCAGTATTCTGTTCTCTGGAGGTCACGACCTGCTTGCCCACACAAGAGCCACGGTGACATAGGTGCTACCATCCGTTGATCAGAAGGTCCCGCTTCAGTCGATAAGCTCGCAGAAGCATCCGTACTTGCGACCACCAACAAAGGCATGGCTATATGGCACTCCCCAATCTTGATAGGGTAGATTGCAACAAGGCCCAACTCGGTCTCTTGAAGAGCGTGGCCACGTTCGTCGACGTTCTCATCGACAACTCTGACTGCGTACGGAAGATCTGATCAGCCATTGCTGCCTCCTTGCCATCTACGTACCCATCAGCGACAGAATCCCCTTCGCCCTCTGGAACACCCTTATCTCCTTCCATCTCCCCATTCTACTCCGCTGGTTCGAAGCTGATCGTCCTTCCCGTGTAGACCATCAACGTCAAGTATGCGCTGATCCTTGAAGCAGCGAGCAATGAAATTCACATCATGCCTTCCTTTGCCGGAAAAATCAAGCATGTCTTATGCGCCTTTCCCCAGGTTCCGTCAACATATCGCGCGCGCTTCGCCAGCAACCTAGCGCTACTTTTCAATCCGGATGAAGCGACTGGGGTGCATGGAGTGTGAGCAAGGGGCCGTCGCAGAGCACAGATGTTGTCGTAGGTCTTCAAGTATGTCGCGCAATGGCAGCGCCACACATAGTTACAACTCTGTGCAGTTTTGCATCTTAACCCAGGGCGGGGTTCGGATGTCGGAGCGACAAGGACTGTCGAGAACCAAGCAGTCAAGAAGAGTCAAAAAGGTGGGGGAGAGTTTGAACCGCTACATATGTATTACAATGTAGAAGCTTGTATTTGTTGAACAGATTACGGTTTAAAATACGTAGTCTCTTGCAATACTGTTCACTGCTGGAGTCCATGTGTGTAGATGCTGATGATGACATAGCTCATTCTGAGCCGAAGTCCGGCTGGCAGACATGCGGCATGCCTGGCTGCTGCCTATTAAGCGTCGGGCGGCGCTTTTGAGTAGCCATGAGCTCTTCTCAATAATACAAGATTTCTAGCTCTTTTTCTCCGTCGCAGTTCGCTGTAGTCAACAACTTGCTGCGGGTGGACCTGTTTTGCAACACTCGACGGTCTGTGCTCACGAGGGAACCAACTCCACTTCCAGAGGAGGAAGGATGCAGGCAACGAACGAACATAGGGAGATAATTTTCTCCTTTCAGAAGTAGCATAAGCCTTCTCTCCACACTCGTCATGATTCGCCAACGTGACAGGTGTCCATTGGCATCGAAAAGCGAGGTGCTCGAGTCTCACCATCATCGCAAGCGTCTTCCTCGAGCTCCTCCTCCAGCCTGTTGCGGACGTCAGTACTGCGATTGTAAACTCCGGATCGGCAGAATCGTTAACCATCCTGCTAACATGCAGAAAGATCAGCTTGATGTACTGTCCCTCTGTAGTATTGTGGGTGGCTACGTGTTGTGGAAACTTCGAGAAGCTTCGACTTGTCGCTCATCGGGCCAGCTTTCCGCCCTCCGCGACTCCGAAGGGGGGGTCGACGTTCACAATGCAAGTCAATATCAACAGGTCTCGCTGGCGGTCATACCACAGGCTAGCGGAAGGCCAAGCGTCGGCTTCTTTCACCTCCAAAGTCCAAAATTACATAGGTAGGAAGTCCGAAGCGATTGCCCATGGCCCCTGGTCCTCCCGTGGTTCGTGACTACGCACGACGGTCACGACAGCGGCCTACTTGTTTATGACTATGGCCTGGGTATGTGACTAACACAACAGCAGCTGGGTCCAACGGCGGGCAAGCCTGTATACAATACAATGTTGCTGCCATCCCGCGCAGCAAGGTTGCCAAATCTCCAGGCAGATACAGAAGCAACAAGCGATGTCACCATCATCACATGCTCGGTCGACGAGGCGGCCTTGTTTCCACGCGTTTGGGCATCTGCGAAGGTCATATTCCGCCAGGAGGAGCAGAAGAATAGGGTTGCAACCTACTGCGGAGTCGCGCCAAAAAAGACTTCGAAGGTTCCGCGCACAACCAGCAAACGCGTGTCTCATATTCAACAGTAAGAAGTGTCGTGTGCGGTGTGCCCTTTCACAGCGTGTTTAGGGTGGTCTGTGCACTTGCGCATCTGTCCCGTTCGCGATTATACATCCAACACAGTGTATACCAGCAGACAACATTCGAGTTGCTCCCAGTGGCCCCTCCGCTTCAAAGACCCTCTGCAAAGGCAGATCGACTAGGTGCGCGTGGTGCCGTCACACAGCAACGTCGACGGATACCGCCTCATTTCTCGCAGCGATCGAAAGCATAGGCCTAGCTCGCGTCTCTTGTGGCAAATGTCGTCTGCGACGACCTCCTCGTACCCCGCTCAAGGAGGATGCCTGTGCGGGGCGGTGCGATACGAGCTAAAGGCGCCGCCTGACGGCTCGTGGATCTGCTGGTGTCTCTCGTGTCGAAAGACGACTGGGTCTATCTGCTCCGCCAATTCTCATTGCAAAGCAAAGGTGAGTGCTGGGGACATTTCAAAGCGCGAATGTAAGGGGAGGGAATGCGACGTCGAAAGGAAGCTCAGTGCTCAACTCACACCTGATCAATCTCTCTTTCCACTTGCAGGATTTCTGCATCACGAAAGGTGAGGAGTATCTGACGCTCTACAAAGAAGCAGGCACGTCCAGCGGCCAGGTATTCGAGGGCTATTTCTGCCGCCTGTGTGGCTGCAACATCCACACGACATCCGACGTGATGCGCCAAGAGGGCAGCATCATCGTCACTAGTGGAACGCTCGACGAGCCGCACATCTTGGAGTGGAAGCCTACGGCTGAATTTTTTTGCATGCGCAAGCCGGGCTACATGGGGACTTTCCAGGGCACCAAGACGTTTGTGAAGATGCCTGAAGGCCATTGATATGGACGCAGCAACGGCGATTGAAAGGGAAATATTTCTTGGCCTAGGGATATATGAGATACGAGGAAATTCAGTTCATACGCATACCTGCAGAGTATGACATTTATGTTTTAAGAATATGAGCACCGAAATTAATTGTGCTGATCTGTATCGCCCCGAGCATGACATCCGACACCCCGAGGTGTCGGATGAGGCGCGGGCGTCGGACCGTCCCATCCGCTACCCCCAAACCCAAAGCTGGCTCTCTTCAGCGCGAGTGTCAGGCCGGCCCAGAGCTATCAAAGCATGCGGGCGGACATTGACACAGGTGTTCATCAGCAAATGATCATTTTTTGAAGAGAACGGCAACATCGAACACACCTTCCGTCCGGGCGCCGGCTGGATGCGCTCGACGGCATGCTTGATGATCTGACCAGTATCAGGATCAAAAGTATACCGAAAAACGGCAGTGTACTCGTGCGCATACCTTGTGACACGGATGACGCCACGGAAGATAAGCCGAACGATGAGCTCATCCGCTGGAGTCGAGGTTCGAGGCTCTGCACTCTGCCAAGGGGCTACTTGTTCGCCCGAATTTGGTGGAGATGGGGGGTCAGAAGGCGCAGGCGGCGAACGAAGCGTTCGTCTCTTGTGGCCGCCGTGCTGCGCAGCGGAGCGCCGCCCAGCTCCGTCACCGACAAAGTAAATCTTTTCAATGTCGACACTCGTTCGCGCGAACAGAGCCGACAAAGCCGTGCGCAAGACTTGCGCGGAGGTCAGGTAGAGTGTCCGACCGCCAAAACCTATCGCCAGGCCGTGATCGCTGTTTGCCCCTTGAGATTGTGCAACATTCACTTTGGCCGGCGCACCAAGTCCGACGGGCGCGCGAAAGATGAATTGGATCTTCGGATGATAAATGCTGTGGTCGGTCTCCTTGCGATTCCCTTTGCTGTCGCTGCAACCGTGCTCTTCCGGCTGGAAGAAAAGTCCTTGAGCTGCTCGCAATGGATCGACAAGAAGGGATCCAACGGTCATGTGCGGCTCCAGCCCGTCAGCAGTGGACACAGGATCGCCCGGGTAATCGACCAAGCCCGTGGACATGAATTCTGGAAGCGTTGAGCGAAGGAGGTGCACCGCTCTGCCGAGACGGAGCCGATACTCGTGCTTGGAGACGAGCGGTGAGCTCCCCTCGTCTTCGCCCCCTCCAGATCCTTCATTCGGATCTGGAGCCCCAGTGCTGTGCTGTACAGCTCCATCCACTTGCCACTGCGGGTGCGGATGCCGCTGCTGCTGCTGCTGCTCAGCCGGTCCATTTGGCGATCCGACATACGGGGGCGAGAAGAATGGCGCGTCGTCTCCGGCGGATTGGCCACGGTCGCTACTCCGTACGAGTGCTGTATGTTGCTGCGGCGTGCAAGCAGACGTAGAAGCCAGAAACAATCGGTATAGATGCTCCAGGTTACTGCTAGACGCACCATACACGGGCAAGGCTGGTGGGATGCGGTAGTAAGGCGGCGCAGCCGAGCATAGCGGGCGCTGGCCACATAGCTGCCAGCTCGCCGCTAGTGCTGACCCCTTTGAAGCACTGAGCCTGCTGATACTTAGCGCTCGCATTTCGGTACTCGCTGGGGCTGTTGGACGCGCATGGCGGTACCATTGGATAGACAGCACGGCTCAAGAAAGATGCAGGCACATTTGGCCACACAGCATGGGATCTCATGAAATGAGAGCATTGGAAGCGAACCCAGTGAAGAAAGGGGGGGAACTTACAATCACGGTTGTGACGGCAGAGGATAGGACTCTGGGGGAGTCCCATCGCAAGAATGTGAATGCCGCGTCGCCGAAACGCGCCGCGTCTTCACACACGAAGTCGCAACATCAACTTCTTTCCTATCCTAGGATTCAAGCACCTTGAGCATCTCATCTGCACTGCCAAGTAATGCGCTCTACGGGAATCGTATCCGCGCCATCTTTGCAAGTATGCCGCGCACTTCCAGGCTTGACGCTGAGGGTGACAATCCGCACCCCGACGCGGGACCAATCATTGGCCACACCGAGCTCAAGCGACATGCCCACATTGCTGCCCTCTTGGGTAAGGACACGGCCGACAAGATCGCCAAAGCGCGCGTGCTCGTTATCGGCGCAGGCGGGATTGGCTGCGAGTTGCTCAAGAATCTCGCCATGGTCGGCTTTGGTGACATTGAGATTGTAAGCTTGCGCGCATGCCTATGCTGGCAGAAGTCGAGCTGAAGCAAGTAGTCATGCCCGACCTGAACAGATCGACTTGGACACCATCGATCTCTCCAACTTGAACAGGCAATTTTTATTTCAAAAGCAGCACATTCACAAACCCAAGTCCCTCATAGCGCGCGAGACAGCCCTGTCGTTCAACCCGCACGTCAACATCACCGCGCACCATGACAACATCAAGGCTCCCAAATATGGTCTGCGGTGGTTTGCCGGCTTTGACATCGTCCTCAATGCGCTGGACAATCTCGATGCTCGCCGGTGGGTCAACAGGATGTGTGTCGCAGCAAATGTACCACTCGTAGAAAGCGGAACTACGGGCTTTCTAGGTCAGGTCCAACCGATCTTTCCAGTAAGTTGGCGCAGGTGCCTGTGGAAAGGTTAATATCTTGCAATCGTGCCTGACGTTTTTCTGTCTGATAGGGCAAAACACAATGCTACGACTGTACTGAAAAGCCGATACCGAAAAGCTACCCAGTCTGCACGATTCGTTCAACACCCAGCGCACCGATTCACTGCATCGTTTGGAGCAAGAGCTGGCTTTTCGCGTAAGTTCCGTGCTCTCGCGTGCTCGCTTTCGTTGCCTAATGACCTTTTCCCTCGTAGTCAGCTATTCGGCCCAGAAGACGAAACGGAAGAGCAAGAGCTACAAAAAGCGCTAGCCAATGGCGAGAATGCAGAAGAGATTGAGAAGCTGCAGGAAGAGTCCAAAGAGATAAAGTCAATTCGTGTTTCGCTTGTCGAGGGTGAAGGCGCTGCTCAGCGCGTCTTTGAGAAGGTGTTCCGGAAGGACGTTGAGAGACTGCTTGGGATGGAGAACATGTGGAAGAACCGGATAAAGCCGAGAGCGCTTATTTGGGATGAGGCAAAGAAGTGGGAGCATACCGAGCTTCCGCCAGCAGCAATAGCGGCCGAAACTAATGCGACAGCAGCGCAGCCCGCGAAAGTCCCGGGCTTGGCACCAGCAGCCACTCGGAACGGATCTACACAAGCCAGTGGCGAGGGATTGAAAGACCATCAGGCTCTGACACTCCAGCAAAACGTCGAGCTGTTCGAAAATAGGTGGGTATTTACGCTCCGTTTGAGCAATTGAAGTGCCAAACTGTACTAATCATGCACTCTGCTGCAGTCTTTTGAACCTCGCCAAGCGCGCTACCGCTTCTCCTGATGATCCACTCTCATTCGACAAGGACGACGACGACGCCCTCGACTTTGTCACGGCCAGCTCCAATCTGCGCTCATTCGTGTACGCCATTCCGCGCAAGACGCGCTTCGAAGTCAAGGAGATGGCAGGTAATATTATTCCGGCGATTGCGTCGACGAACGCGATCATCGCTGGGCAAATCGTTATCCAGGCCATCCAGGCGCTTCGCGGTCGATGGGACCAGGCGCATTTTGTCACGCTCAGCCGGTCCGGTGTCCGCCTGCTCAACGGCTTCGAAGTAGCGAAACCCAACCCGGCTTGCAGCGTCTGCTCGGAGAACTACGGCCTCCTGCGCGTGCCGTCCGTCGAGATGGTCACGTTGGGCGAAGTGCTCAATAAGGTAGTGCGGAAGGGCAGAGATGCCGGCGGCCTCGGCTTTGACGAAGCGAGCGAGCTGTCCGTGTATGAAGGCAGCCGCTTACTCTTCGATCCGGACATGGACGACAA